TTACTACTTAGTGCTTTTAAACATTATATTGAAATAACTTAATGTTTTATTTAAAATATCCAGTTTTGATAAGATATACAATATTATTAAATAACAAAATATTAAAAATATTACAATAATGTGACAGACAACAATTCATTTCTAAATAAGAAATTAGAAACCTAGTACGAAACATTTGACTTATAATATCTAGGATCAACTAACAATTCAGTATACTTTACACTGTGCTTTCAGAACGCTTTAGGAAATGCCAGATCAAAAGGCAATGGGCATTCCCTGTACTTAAATGACAAAAATATTAAACATCCAAATAAGGCTTACATTAATTTATGCTGGCACTCTAAGAAAGCAAACTGCCATTCAGAGTGGATGCATGATTCTCTATGCTGCTTTTTAAATCTTTCAATATTTTTACTGATTTTAAACATTGAATTTTAAAACATTCAACCTTTTACACGTTATTATGCATAAAAAGTAGGAAATTTTGCATAACAAATGGCATTATTTCACATGAATTACAGGCAGCTTCCATAAGATTCAAATGAGCAAATTTTCAGCCATTACTACTATTCTTCTTCCCACATGGAAGGAAAGATAGTTCTGATCATTATTTAAAAAATATCTGTCAGCTCACTAGAATGCCAAACATTAAACACATCTCTGTTTTCCATATTTCCAACAAAGTCAAAATATTACAGTCCCAAAAAATTTCAAGAATATAATGGAAAACATTCCATTTGTTGTCAAGGTTGACCTCTAACTAAAAAGAAATTAATTTTCTTATAACAGGTACATAAGATTACTAAGAAAATAGCAGCTCTGGAATTGGGCCTGATTACCAGTTTGGATATGCCATACTCTAAACAAAAGAACAAACCCGCTTGGAAGATAATGTAGCATTGTGCTAGTACAAAATTATGAAGGATCTTTCAATCTGAATAATTCTCTAAAGTAAATGACACAATCAATTCACAGTAAGATTCCAATGGACAAGTATCAGGAAGGGAGAAAGCAAATGAACCATCATATTAAAATTATAATCTGGAGAGTAAGAACAACAATTAATAAACTGTATGGAATAGTATTTAAAGTGTGGGACTATAATCAGAAGACCCAAGTTCAAGTTTGTCCTCTGATATAGAATAGAATTCTTTATTGGCCAAGTGTGATTGGACACATAAGGAATGTGAGAATATGAAAGCTCACTATACAACAATGTGCCAAACATTGAGTTTAGAGAGTTGTTATGGGGAAAATTTTGTAGGAGGAAAGCTATTAGAGCTTCTGGAAGAATCAGGAAATATAGAGTTTTAAAACTGAATGGCAATTTAACCCCTGGTCAGTTTTTTGCCTGTATGTTTTGTCTAAAATCTGAAAACATTTTTTTTTTAAGTTTAAAAAATATTTTACAAACTTCTATCATGATTGAAATATAGAGCACTAGTATAGCATTCACTAGTATCTAGAATATGTTACCACAAAATGAAACAAAAATATGTGCATATGAATCAAAACTACTCATAACTCTTTATATTTGAGTAGCTCAATCCTATTTTCAGGGCAAGTCACTTGTAGAGCAGGAGTACTTGGCCCAAAATTATGTTCAAGAGTTTTTTTTTAACCATTTCGCATCTCTTCCAGCATAAGAACAAAATCTAACACCATCTAAATCAGTAGTACAAACGTTACAACTTAAGACCAGTAGGGGCTGACATTCATGCGCAGCTTGACTTGCATAAGTAGTGGACCAGTGCACATGCAGCTCGACTTGCGCAGATTGAATTGCATGCACACTGGCCAACTACTTGCAAAAGTTAAGCTGCATCTGCGAGAGTATACACCAGCCTACCACTTGCAGGGCCCAGTTCCGAATAGGCCACTAATCTGTTTAACAGAGGCAACACATATATCATAGTATCAGTTCATAAGATATCTACACTATCTTTATGAACTCTGCATATAATAACATATAGGCCTGGACTTTTGCAGACAGCTAACAATAAAGTTAACAAGGCATGTAAATATCTGAAAAAAAATCTAAACACAAATCAATATCTGCATTATTAAAGGCAGATAAAATTAATAATTAAATATTTTATGAAATTTGACCAAAGTATCTTGAGTACAGACCGAAACAAGTTTTGGAACCACAGGAAAAAAAAAACCCTATAGATTTGAAAGATAAATATAACATCAATGCTTCAGATGATGCAAAGCAGAGTCTCTTCCACTATATATAAATGGAGATTGTGTGGAAAGAGTTCATAGTTTTAAATTTCTAGGAACTAATATTTCAGAGAACCTTACTTGGTCGGTCCACACTATGGCCACTGCAAAGAAGGCCCAACAGCACCTGCACTTTCTGAGGCTGCTGAAAAAGAGTGGTCTGGGTGAGAAGTTGCTGTTTACTTTTTACCATTCTACCATCGAGAGCATTTTGGCATATTGTGTGGTATGCTGGATGCTCTATAGTAGATAAGATGATGCTCCAGAGAGTTATAAACACAGCACAAAAAATAATCCGTTGCTCTTCTTCTTTGGAAGAGATTGTGAAGACCAGACTCCTCTCTAGAGCACAAAAACATCTCCACAGACTGTTCTCATCCTGGTCATTCATATTTCGAATTGTTACCATCAGGGAGACATTATAGATGTCTTAAAATGAGGCCTAATAGACTGAGAAAGTTTCTTTTCCAAGGCAATAATTGTCTTGAATGAAACAGTACATTAGTGATTTAGTTCTATGTATAAAGTGGCATTTTTAAACTATCTAACTTAATATATGTTTTAAATAGGTTTTAGACTAGGTTTTTAATTATTATTATTATTATTATTATTATTATTACTTTGTTTTACTTTTTAAATACTGTGCAGTGTGATTGTGATGTGGTGTTTGGGGCACTATGCTGGAGTAGCTTTCAAATTTCATTGTATTTTGAATGCAATGACAGTGAAGGTATTCTATTACCAGACTTTTTCACCAACTGTCTGTACAAGTAGTCCTTGACTTATGATCACAATTGAGCCCAAAATTTCTCTTGATATACAAGAGAGTTAAGTGAATTTTGCCCCATTTCATAACCTTTCTTGCCAGAATTGTCAAGTGAATCATTGCAGTTTTTAAACTGAATCTGGATTTCCCATTTAGCTTCACTTGTCAGGTCACAAAAGATGATCATATGATCCAATGACACTGAAACAGTCATAAATATATGCCAGTTGCCAAGCGTCTGAATTTTAATCACATGACCACAGGGATGCTGCAATGGTCATAAGTGTGAAAAATGGTCATAAGTCACTTTTTTCAGTGCCACTGTAACTTGTAACAGTAATTAAATGAATGGTTGTAATCAAGGATTACCCCTACTACCTGTAACATTGCAACAATAGAGCAATGGCAGTTTGTTCTATTTTGGCTTAACGTATTCTAGGAACCCTATGATTATAGTCTGTATTCTAGTAGTACAAAAATAGCCATGAGTCCTAGAAACAATTTTTAAGGTAAATAACTTAGTACAATGTGTGAACCTCTAAAAAAATAAGAGTTGGTAATAGAAAAGGTTAAGTAAACATTACTCAAGCAGACAAATCTTTGCCAAGATGGGATATAAATCTAATAATAATTTCTCAAATAATCATAGCATGAAAAAAAAAAGATCTCTCAATTTTTTCATCATCAAAGGAGGTATTTATTTGGAGACATTTATTTTTAACTTTTTAAACACAGGCCATTCCCAATATTGCTAGATAATGGGTAGAATTAGTAAAAACACAAGTCTGCTATACAGCAAATAATATTGAATTAAAAAGAATTTATTATGCCAAAAATTAAATCTGGTTCCTATGCTTAGCAACAGAAGTTCCAGCCCCAACCGTAGTCGTGAGTTGAAGATTACTTGTACATTGCTAGATATATGATAATTCTATATCACTTATAAAAGATGGTTCAGAAGTCAAAAACTGGGAAAGAAAAGCCATGGCAGAAGGAGAATATTTTGCATTACCCTATGCACATCAATAGCACTATTACCCTTACAATGATTAAACAATGTAACCAAAATGTGTGTATTTCAAAATCTAGGTGCAAGCTCCTGTAGAACACAGGCAATATGAAGTTATTTACATTTATATAATTATGGATCACAATATAGATAATTGCAAAATGAATGTACAGACAGAACACTAGATCATATAGTTTAGCAATTTTTATCTGCTGCCATTTACCATAAAAGAAATATAAAAGCAGCATAATCAGTTTTACTTTAATGTTATAGAACAAATAAGAATATGATTATTGTTAAAAATAAGCAATTACTAATATATATGCAACTTCAATTCTTCATAAATTCAGATCTGCATGCAGTAGTAGGTACTTCATAATTTTAGAAATACAGGTAGTCCTCAACTTACAGCAGTTCATTTAATGACTGTTAAAAAGTTACAACAGCACTGAAGAAAGTTTTCACACTTACAACTATTGTATAAATGGCTTGATAATCCCTACCATCACGTGATCAGAATTCAGATGCTTGGCAGCTAATTCATATTTATGACGATTGCAGTGCCCTGCACCTTTTGCAACCTTCTAAGAACCAAAGTCAATGAGGAAGCCAGATTCACTGAAGAACTGTATTACTAACTTAACAAGTGCAGTGATTCACTTAACAACTGTGGCAAGTAAGTTGTAAAATAAGGCAAAGCTCATTTAACAAATGTCTCGCTTAGCAACAGAAATTTTGGGCCCAATTGTGATCATAAGTCAGGGATTAGGTTGAGGACTACCTGTACTAGGTAACTATTTACTAAGTAGTTACTTTTATTTCATGCAGATCTGAAATTATAAAGAATTCTTTGCCCAAAGCAATAACATTTATTCAGAGAGAGTGGGAAAGGGAAAATATTGATGGGTTTAATGTTGTTCTATTACCAAAAGAATGGCTTAATTTAAACAGTGTATATTGCCCCAATCCAAACTTAATATATAGCATTAAAAAACTTACTTTCAGCTAGTGGTGTTTTGGATCCACATCTCAATTAGCCTGAGTCCCACTGTTCTCAACTAGAGAAATTGCAAAAACTGAATACATAATACTCAACTGCAATAATAGAACAAAACAGATAAATACAAGTAAGAAAAATCAAACTGATATATGGTAAATAATGCAGACATACTATTTTTATAAAGAGGGTTGTTTTTGGAAAACACTAAGACTACATGGATTCCAGAATTTTACATCTAAACCTATATCATATGAACTAATTATATGAATTTGACAAGTACTCCAAAGACAAAAATACAAAAGAAAACATTCATCACTATGAAGTGTTACGCTTGAAAATCATATATAAGAATTTTTACGAAGGCACTTCAAACACAGTAAATTATTTCAAGAACAGGTTTTAATATATCTGTATCCAGTGTATTTTCTATTACCAGTGAAGTGCTTTTAATTCAAATAATTTCAATTTAGTGTTACTTTTTTGAAACAAAATCTGTTACATTTTTAAACTTTAAATGCTACCAGCTCTCATACAAAAGAGCAATTGTTATATACTCTTGACTATAAATACCGTAATAATCACCTGACACAATTTATTTCCCTAATTACGTTTGGTATAATAGCCTTGTTATATGTTTTCCTATGAATATTTAAGCTAATTAACACATTTACCTAAAAGTAACATGACCCTAATTTAAGATATCTCTTGTCCTCAAATAGCAGAATCTTCCTCCACATTTTTTGTTTGTTTTTCAGTGAATCCAAGATGATCCTGTTTCAAAGGTAAATTAGTTTTGGTAAACTAGTTTTGGTAATTTTCTTTCAGTTAAATAAAGTGAAAATCTATAACTTTTCCCCTTAGGATCTCTATCTTATCCTTCCTTTTCATAGAGCATTACTGTAAAATGATTGCTTTTGTAAAAGTAGTTCAAGAAATTTATTTTAAAACTTTTATTTCTTTTCAAAAAGTAAATTATAGATTCATTAAGAAATATTCAAACACACTGAATGTGAGAAAGCTAAAAGTGAACTAATGACAGAGTCACTTGAAATTTTGTGTTTGCTTTATGACCTATATTTATGAAAGGCATGGGGAAGGAAATCAAGTGAACCAAGACACTATAATCTTGCTTTTATAGTACATCCTAGGCAATATTATAAGCAACTGAAATACATCCTATGCAATACAATAAGCTATAATTGATTTCAATGATATACTTCTAAGCAAACATACACAGTATTATGGGAAAAAACACTAGTCTTAGATCAATGTGGTTTCCATGTTTGAATAGAAAACTTGCTAGTAATTTGTTTTATAAACAAATGAAAAAATAGGATGGCATCTTATTTCAGATTTTATATTAATAATTGCATTAAAAGCAATTCATAACTTTCAGTGATATGCCATTCTTAGGTCCAGATTTGGTATGAGAGTAATTGTATTTGTCCAATTTTCTTTTCCATTATTAAAAAAATAAAAACACAATATATACCTCAACAATGTAAGGAATTATTAAAAGTGTCACAATCTATTTCCACATCATTCATTTTCTGAAATGGAACACCTTTTAATATCCCTACAACTTTTATAGTACTGATGAATTCAATACTGACAAAAGATTTTTTGTAGCACATAACTCAGTATAATATAGGAAAACAGAAAACCAATTAATGCATATATGCTAACATATATTGCACTAAGACATGTAACTAGGCCATGGCTGATTATGCACTAAATAAAAGAAACCACACCCCCTGATTTCACATTTCTATCAACACAAAAGTCCACCCAAACAATCTGTACCAGAAGCATAGTTTAAAATATGTTGTGCAAAATTAGGATACTGGCAGAATAGCCCAGCACTGAGATTTCAAAGTACCTTAGAAATATGAGAATAATGTACCATTACTATAATCTACCACATACATATTAGAGCTTCACTGTCATTACTTGACTTAGCAGTCTTCACAGAATTACAGCTGTTTTTTCTATTCATACTTAATACCTATTCTGCACTGTATATCAAACTTATTAGTTTGTTAATATTAGTTTGTTATAGCCATAAGCAGACTGTGTTAAAATCAATGGGAGTTCTTCCACCAATTCTTTAGAAGATAAAATTCCACTTTACAAATTTCAAGTATCTTACAAAAGAACTCTGTGTGCTCAGGAAAGTTAATTTTAAAGCCCATACCTATCTTGTAGGTAGATTCATCAGTTTCATATATAAAAAATTCCAGACAATACTTACAACGTAAATTCTGTCCAATATAAAAATGATAAAACTCACATATTCAGAGAAGCAAACTATGCTCAATGTTAAACTTAACGGAGAAGAGATACTGGTAAATCCTATAATATCGCAGCTTTACTGGAAACAGTGCGTCCAGCCATGACACAGCCCACCTGCACCCATGACAATGTTTACAACGAACCGCTGGGCCGCAACATCCGAGACCGGATTTAGAAAGAAAGAAAAAAGCTTGTGTAGAGCCTTATTTCCTGGGTTGGACTAGGCCCACACGATTCCAATCACTCCACCTCAATAATGGCGTTTGCTGAAGTGGAACGAGAATCAAAAGGAAGTAAACGCCGAAGGTCTACCGGGTACTCCTTGTACTCTCTTCTTCGCCAGTTTTCTTCGCTATTTAAGGAATGGCCAGACCAATAGCCGGCCAGCTCTGCAGGTTGTCTCTTTCTTCCCGGGACTGCGGACATGGGGTGTGCGCGCCCCATTCTCCTGCAAGGCCCAGTTCAGGCCGGGCAGAAAGAATGAGGACTGAGTCGTCAGCCATTTTCCCTCCACGACACTGACACACGCACGAACAGACAAGATACGCTAACTCACGAAGAGATGAGATACCCAGCGAAAGTCCCCCCTCCTGGAATTTACCCCTTTGTTTGCCCACAGAATGACCTTTTCTTTCCCCTATCCCGATTCGCTTACCCCCACACAGCGTCGCCTTTTCCTGCTGCTACTCTTGGTTCTAATGCCGAGGCCCGATCTGCTCCCGAGCGCCGCTGCCAATGGCGATGCAGAGAGGAGGCGGCTGCGGCGGGTGTGGCCGAAGACTTTCTCATCCCAGGCGGCACAAGCCGCCGCCGCAGCAACCGACAGGACTGCGTCTCATCCCTAGGAAAATCCGAGTGGCGATGGCTGCTAGAAAAGCCGGCTTTCCTACGCCGGGTTTTGCCCGAAGGGGTCCCGTGTCGCTTTCCTGACTGAACTTCCTTTGCGTGCCACCTTTTCTTGTATTCTCCTTTTAGTTTTGCGTCACCAGCTTTTCGGCGACCGCGACAGTGCCAGTGTTGCGTTGCGAGGCCCAAGCGGGCCGGCGCTCTTTCTCGTCCTGTAGCTCCGTTAGGCTGAGCTAGGCCTCCGGGCTGTTCTACCTTATCCGGGGAAATCGGATACCTTCAATCCCTGGAGAAGGGAATAGAAGAAGAGATAGGAAGGAGGGGCTGGGCTGACAAGGCCAGCAGCGAGAAACCTACGAGACTGCCGCTAGGAAAGGAAAAAGAAACCCGTGCTGCGTCTAGGAGCAAAGTCGCGTCGGAGACAGCAGCACCAGCAAAGACTGAGAGTCTGAGTCCCGGGCAATATGGCGGCTCTAGGAGGGCTCGGCTCACAGCATATGCAGCGCAGACTCCGACTCAACGTAGCGGCGCCGGCCAGCCACCCAAACAGCGTTCCCGGCGGCCAGCGTGACTCCCTCCCTTTCCTGATTGTCAGACAGTCAATCACTCCCACAGCCCAGTTCCGTGCCCAAAGCAGCAGCACCCACTCACGCCTTGCTTTTTGTGAGGCTAGGGTCGCCGCCGCGCAGTGGCAGGGTCGGCTTGGTGTGCCGTGTGTAGCCGGTGGGGGAGGGGCCAAGGCCTGACAGCGTTGGTGACTGGGCTGGATGTCGACGGCGGCCGAACGGGGCCCTAGTTAACGAAGCCAGGCCGCGATCATTGAGGCGGGTGATTGGCCGGCCGTTTCGTTTCGGTTGAGCTCCGTTTCGACTCCATTGTTGACCCGCAATGAGAAGAGCCCGGATAATGACGTCATCTTTCGTCTTTGGGAGGGGAGAAGAGGAGAATTGATCCTCCCCTTCCTTTCCCCTCCATCCCAGGGGCCAGCCAAAGGCTGACGTGCGGGTGGGGCGGGAACGAGGACTCGGCAGCCCAGCTGCTGAAGAACAAGGCAGATAGCGTTGGCTTCCAGGGTTTCATAGAAAGGCCTTAGCCTATTTTCCCTTGAAACTTTGGCTTTGTGTCAGTTTGAGAAGTATGCATTGTGCATTGTTACTATCACGAGACGAACTTTATCTTATACTCCTCTTTGATTTGGAATAAGCCTGCATTACTATTACTATTAATCTTCTCATCACTCCTTATCGCCCATCCCCTCCCACTTGTGACTGTATGACTAACTTCGTTGCTTGTATCCTAACAATTTTTATTTAAATCTAGTATGATTTGATTGTTTATTGTACCCTTCCGAGGTGGGTAAAATGACCCAAATTGTTGGGGAAAATATGCCGACTGTAAACCGCTTAGAGAGAGGTCTGTGAAGAACACTGTGAAGCAGGTCTAAGTCCTATTGCAGTAGAATGACAAGTTTCAGTTTATATCTATTCCATAATTTTTTTCATCGTTTCATATGACTATCATTTCATTTGTTGGCTTCCTGAAATAAAAGATCATAAACTGATAGAAGGGTGGTAACTTAGCAGACATGCACAAAGCCTAGCATTTATAGTCAGTAATTTTATCCCAGTTTCAATTCAAACTATGAAAAAAATACAAATCATAATTAAACATAAGTGTGCACCTTTCCAATATTCGATGATTGTTATTGAAAGTACTTATGGTTTTCCAGATGATAATATTACATTAAAAACTAAGCATCAGGTTTGGGCTGGACCAAACCAATTGTTGGCTAACTTGGGAAGTTGCAAAATCATCTCACAGGAAAGCAGAAGCAAATCATTTTAATGCTACTATAAAGAAAACTGCATTGACATATCCATGAAGCATCTAGGAGCTAAGACTGAGAATGGAACACCTTTTAGACAAATGTACATCAAGAAAGATTAGGAAAAAAAATTATTTTGGTTTTTGCTTAGAATTATATTCTTATTAGTTGTCACAGGAAAGTAATTCCTCACTAAAATACTGTGCATGTTTTACATTATTCTTTGCAGATCCTGTACCATTAAAATGAACATTTTTTTCAAAAACTTCTTGATAATTTTTTTTGTGATTATGAAAAATATGAAATTTACTTTTAGTGACTATAATATCACGTTTTCAACACACTGCATGCATTTAATAGGAGTAAATGTGCTTTGTTGCTGATTTTCATTTGTAGTCCATGTTTAATGCATCTCACTGCGGTGTCTAACAATAGTCAGCCAGCACTGATGGATTCCAGTTGCCCTGATACCGTTTTTCCAGTGTGGCAATGTCCTGGTGAAATTTTCACATTTGTCACTAACTACACCTAGAGTTTCATGAAAAAAGTCCAAGTGTGAATGAGAAAATGAATCTTCAGTAACATGTTGCACTTCATGGTCTTGTATGTTGTAACAAGTTTGTCAATAGCTGAACTTAAGTTTGATGGTCTGTGGTTGCCAAGAACATTCTCAACAATATCCTTGAATGTTTTCCAGTGATTATCTCTGGCCCCAGTAACCGACTTTTCCACGTTTTGTCATTGACATATCTGATCTGATCTACAGATCAACAAAAATGCCTTCCTTAATCTTGGCATCAGCTTTTCTTGGAAATAGCTATCTCAAATGAAGAAAACCTCCTCCTCCTTCGTTCATCACTTCCACAAAATTTTTCACCAGTCTTGAGTTTTATGTGAAGTGGAGACAAAAATGTGGGTCAACAAATTGTTCATGTGCTATGTTTGTCTGTCCTGGAATCAAATTCTTTCATGGTGGCTGTTGTGGAGCGACGGAATAGACGAGGCATAGACCAGAGCATACAACGAACAGTCTTTATTCAAGGAATAAAGGGTTGTCGCGTCTGCCAGCTAACAAGGCAGACTGCCAGTGAACAACGGCTGGCTCCGTTCAACAGCCGGCTTTTATAGCCGATTGTCAAACGGAGCCAACCAATGGGAGCTGCTGCTGCTCCCGCTCAAACAGCGGACCTGGTTGGAAACCCCAACCAGTCCTAAAGACATAACACTCCTCCCCCCTAGCTGGGCACATGCATAGTCCTTGAGGTATGAGGGTGGACTCCGCTGGCGGCTGGAACGTCGCAGCTCTGGAACACTGCTGGTGGGCATCGAGTCCCTGGTGCAAGATTCCGAAGTCGCCGGAGCGCCCTCTAGTAGTGGTGCAGGACCCAGGGACTGGGACGACTCTCCTTGCTCGGGCAGGCTCGACAGAGTGGTTCGGTCTGGTCGGTCGGCGCTCCCGCTGGGTGGATGTGATGGACACTCGGATCGGCAGTCCTGGCTCGTCCTCGGCTCGGTCCGTTCGAATGGAGGTGTCTGCTCCCTCAGGAAACTCCCTTCTGGAACCCGGGCGAGGATTTGAGGGCTGGCTGGTGGATCTGGCTCACCGCTGGTCCGGTCGTTCCGCCGCCTGCGCAGTTGGTCTAGGTGTCTCCGCCACACGCGACCATCCTCCAACTGGACCCGGTATGATCTTGGGCCAGTGACGGCTACGATTTGCCCGGGCACCCACAAGGGATCTCCTGCATAGTTCCTTGCAAAAACTGGATCCTGCAAGGCAAAGTCTCGTACCTGGCTGTCAGATCCCAAGGGTGTACCAGGGCAGTAGTGAGGGTGCAGCCTGTCAAGAGTAGTCCTTAAACGTCTCCCCATTAAGAGTTCAGCCGGGGACTTGTTAGTGCTCGTGCATGGAGTTGTATGCTGGCTAAGGAGAAAATGGGATAACTTGGAATGCCAGTTTTCCTGACCGAGTCTGGCTAGCGCCTCCTTAGCCGTCCTGACCGCTCTCTCCGCCATCCCATTACTAGCAGGGTGAAAGGGGGCTGTGAGGACGTGTCTAATGCCCAGATTCGTGACATACATGCTAAATTCGCAGGACGTGAACTGCGGCCCGTTGTCTGAGACTATTGTGTCAGGAAGTCCATGAGTTACGAAGAGTCGGGTCAGGGCTTTAACAACTGCCTGTGTGGTGGTTGTGGGTAGCAAAGCAACGTCAATCCATTTTGAATACGAGTCCACAACCACCAAGAAAGTCTTGCCATGCACAGGCCCGGCCAGATCGATGTGTAATCGTGACCATGGGGCATTGGCGCTTTCCCACTTGGTGGGTGGAGCTGCAGGTGGGGCTGCCCTAGACTCCTGACAGGGTTTACATGAGCTTACCCACTCTGCGATCTGATCGTCCATCCCGGGCCACCATACGTAACTGCGAGCCAATGCTTTCATCCGCACGATACCCGGATGGCCCTCGTGCAGCACCTTCAATATGGGCACGTGAAGAGAGGTTGGGATAACGACTCTGGTGCCCCACAGCAAACATCCCTGGAGTCTTGATAGTTCCTGTTGGCGTGTTTTAAACGGAATAAAGTCAGTTGCATACTTTGTTTCCGGCCACCCCTTCCCCACCCAGTCCAGAACCTGGGCGATTGTTTTATCTTTCTTGGAGTGTGCCGCGATGTCGTCTGCAGTCACCGGTAGCTTAAATTCGTTGAGTTCGAAGATTGCGTGCACCGGAGCTGGGTCCTCGACTGGTGTCGGTAAGGGGCAACGGCTGAGGGCGTCTGCGTGGCTTAAAGTCTTACCAGGGCGATAGACCAGTTTGAACGAGTAGGCCGCTAAGAATAATGTCCATCTCGTCATCCTGGGTGACAGTACTTGTGGCGTTTGCCTGTCCCCCGATAAGAGCCCCAAAAGTGGCTTATGATCGGTGATGAGTTCGAAATGGTGGCCAAAAAGGAATTCGTGAAATTTTTTGACAGCTGCAACTTTTAATAAAATAGAGAATAACTCAATTGATTAAGTAAAATGAATGAAATGTGTGAAGAACTCAGATTGGAACTGTAAAATGTGAGGGGAATGATAAAAGAAAGCATGGAACTATGGGATACATTGGCAGAAAAATTAGACATGGCAATGCAGTTCACAGAAGAACAAAGGAAGTCCACAGAGGAGGAGTTAAAGAAAGAGGAAATTAGCCCAAGAGAGCAAAAAGAACAATGGACATTGCAAAAAGACATGAAAGGAATTAAAATTAAAACATTGAAGATAGATGTGATAAACAAACAGGGAAATACTTCCAAGATTAAACAAAAGAAGAAGAAGCTGTACAAGGAGAAATTGCAAAAGAGAGATCAGGAAAAGGAAGGGGAAAAAAACAAGTGAATAGGAGATGAAAATAAAAATAATATTAGGAGAAAAAAGAGGAGCTAAGAGAAAGGACCAGAAAAACTTAGAAAATGGAAAAATAGCTAAAATGAGAAGAAACTATACGGCCTAGAGATTTAGGGATGATGGTTAAAGATAAAGTAACATGGAAATGTACTTTGGTTTTTGGTTTTTTTAGAAATATAGACTGGGGAGTTTTGAAGTGTAAAGTTTCTTGGGAATTATTTTTTAAAAAATAAAGAAATAAGTCTAATTGGAATTAAAGGTGAATAAAACCTCACTGTAAGATTACTACATAATTATATACAAGAAAAATGATAAGAGTATGCAAAATTAAGATGGGTTTTATTGTTATTAAATCCTTTTTTACATGTATTGTATTAAATGAGAAATGTAATTGATTATATAAATGATATTAGAAAAACAAAACGTAAAACTAGAAATGATTATGCTATAAAGTATTTGCAATGATATTGTTATATTATGATTAATGTTTTTTTTCTCGTTTTTATTTTATACATATTATATTAGACATTAAATAGAAAATGCAATTGATTATACAAAGGATATTAGAAAAACAGAAAATATGGTAAACGAGAAATGATTATACTGTAAAGTAAAGTATTTGCAATGAGATTATTATATTATGATTAAAAAGGTGAGAAATGAAAACTTAATAAAATTCCATAG